TATACAGTATATATATATATATATATATATATATACAGTTACAAATTGCTGTAAAAAAGAGCCACATTTTGATAGTAACATACTGTTTTCCAACAAAACAGTAATATAGCGTAGAAAATAGTGCATTCTGGGTCATATTTGTTATTTTAGAGAAATTACAATATACCGTGAATTAACAGCACTCAAAGATGACACTCAGAGACTTTGTCCCAAATCGCACCCTATACCCTCATTCACGATTCCCTACATGAGTGGACTAATATAGAACACCTGCTGTTAACAAGCAGATTTATTGAAGGAAAGAGACACAACAAGAACAGAAACAAGAGAAACACAAGAACACTAACTGACTTCGGCCACTGCCTTAGATGAAATCAACTGAAATAAAAGACATTAAATCTAACGTCTGCTGCCACTCTTCCACCTTCACAGCCCCCTCTGCCTCACTCACTGCAGAAGATGAGCATGAAAATTAGCAAATATTTGACAAAGGCTTAGCGCCTCAGATCAAGATTATTTCAAATAGAGTCGACAGATGTGATTTCATGGAAAATTATAAAATAATTTATTTAATTTCATTATATATCTTATTTTTTCATATATACTGTATATATATATATATATATATATATATATATGAAAAAATTTATATATTTTAATTATGCTGTTTTTTTCATCTTGCATCTTTAACCCTTTAAACCACACTGCAAAATCCTCAGTTTTATATAATAATTCTCTCTCTCTGTGTGTGTGTGTGTGTGTGTGTGTGTGTGATGAACACCTGCTGTTAACAAACAGAATCACTGAAGGAAAGAGAAACACAAGAACTACACTTCGGCCACTGCCTTAGATGAAATCAACTGAAATAAAAGACATTAAATCTCTCAAGATCTCAACAGAGGATGATTAAACAACTCCATAAACAGCATTGCCAGCTTCACGCATTACTAACCAGATTGACTTGATTTCTGTCAGACATCTACAGTAGTTCTTAGTGATAATTACAGAGGTTTCGATGATGATGTTTTACGGTTTCCTTTGAAGTTACCGTTGTGGAGATCAGTGTTTGCTTTAGTTGGGCTCCTGACCCTTGACTTTTGAACATTGTTTTTTTTTAAACAGCTGTAACTGCATTTAAGATACATAAAAAAACTGTTCATCTGATGATGTTTGCTATTTTAGTGGTCATGATCATCATCTACTCTGCTGATTTACTGATCTCCTTCAGTGTCTAATTGTATGGGTGTTGATTTATATTTTTTGATTATGGTATTCCAGTGATTCTACGGCATGAGAACCATGTCATTGTTGTGACAACCAGAAAATATGAAGGATTTAAAAACACTTTGTACTTAAAACATTTTGAACTACAACATCATTGGAGACATCAAGAATCAGCATATGAAGCTCAACAATGGTGACAATCAAAAGCTTCATGCCGCAATCAATGCATGCTAAGTACCAGTACAGTACACAACTCATCCATGACTCCCAGCATGCATTGTCATGAAGAAATTATGCTGCTGAATTGTCCAGTTATTTTCTTTAATTCTTACTATGCACTTTTATTTTTGTGTTGAGTTTTAATACTGCTTCTTCATTTGCTGTAGTATCACAGTGGTGGTAACATAAAAATGAAGGTGTGTTCCTATAATATACTTTCGGTAGAGAAAGAGACACTGAATAAGGTCAGTGATTCAGGTGTTACATGATGATTATGCCATTAACAAAACATAACCAACAATACCAAATTTCTTTTTCTCTGCTCTTTTTTGCCACAACAAATGTGATTTAAAAACACACGGTTACAGCAGCCAAAAAAAAGTTAATGTTAAAAAGTCATGGGTAAGAGCCCAACTAAAGCAAACACTGATCACCATCATGGTAGTGTCAAATAAAACAATAAAACATCAACATCTAAGCCTCTGTTAACTTTCAATAAGCGCTTCTGTAGATGTCTGACAGAAATCAAGTCAATCTGGTTAGTAATGCGTGAAGCTGGTAATGCTGTTCGTGGAGTTGGTTAATCATCCTCTCCTGAGATCTCGAGAGATTTAATGTCTTTTATTTCAGTTGATTTCATCTAAGGCTGGAAGTCAGTTGTAGTTCTTGTGTTTCTCTTTCCTTCAGTGATTCTGTTTGTTAACAGCAGGTGTTCATCACACACACACACACACACACACACACACAGAGAGAGAGAATTATTATATAAAACTGAGGATTTTGCAGTGTGGTTTAAAGGGTTAAAGATGCAAGATGAAAAAAACAGCATAATTAATTAAATTAGCATAATTAAAACTGTAATTCATTTCCTGCAACAAACTGTAGAAAAACAGTAATATGCTGGCAACCATGCTGCCAGTAAATTACCGTATTTATGTGTTTTTGCACAAGAGAGATCTGTTAGTTTCATTTAGTGTTGTGGGTCAACAAGAGTAGAGCCTGTGCATCAGTCAATGATGAGCCCAGAAACACTGATGTTCTGCTGCATGTTGCTTTATTTAAAGGCAGTAACTGTGGAGTTGCTGATGCAGTGATGATATCTTTCATTTGAGATTTGAGTAAAAGTCATGCTCTGATTATTTCACTATTACACATTAAGTGTTTGCGGTTTTATATTAAGAAACGTTCCTTTTTAGTGGACTCAAATGAAATAAGTTCACGGTACTAACACCGTATAAACACTAGTTTTTAAACTCGAATGGTTTGAAGCAATCGGTTTCCCAAATGAAATGAGTCACCTTACATGGTATTATTATGGTAACCTACAGTAAAAATGGTAGAATTAAAAAAGGGTAAATTAACGGTAGAGAGTTGTAAATTAACAGCAGAATGCTGGCAACCACAGCTGCCAGTATTTTACAGCACAATTTTTTTACAGTGATATAATGTTAATATATTTATAATATATATTATGTATAACCCTGGTAATTCTGACTCATAAGCAATATATTATACAATTAAAGGTTACATTTAATGTTAATGTGTAAATAATATATTAAATCTAATACTTGTAATTTTGATAGAATTTTGATGTGTATAAATGCTTGTACTTTTGATAGAATTATCATATATATTATTAATATATTATATAAATATAATATAAATGCTTGTAATTTTTATAGAATTATCAAATATGTTATCAAAATATTATACAATTAAAGGCTACATGAACTGTTAATATAATAATAATAATAATAATATTATTTATTATTATTATTATTATTATTATTCGCACACA